TTAGGAGGATAAAACGTCGAGAGATTGGATAATTTCGCATTGTCGCGTATGGAGGTCAAAGGGATAAGAATGCTCTACGGATTATTGGGCCCTTTACTTCGAAAGATATGTCGATATAGAAAGAAAAGAAAAGAAAAGAAAAGAAAAGAAAAGAAAAGAAAAGAAAAGTAGGTGATGGGTAAGAAGGGAAGTTTCTGTGTTATGATATATACGCGTATATCTACATCCGACACACGTAGAACCCCCACCCCCATCCCCCTTTCCTTGTCCCCATACGATGATTATCTGTTTTTTTTCCTGTCTCCCTTTTGCTCTTTTGCCCTACTTTTCTACCTTCCCACCCACCCCAACGTTTTTCCCCTACTTTGTCACTCTACTACCTCCAATGTTCTACAAACAATTCGTTACCGTCTAACAAGTCATTAATCACTAAACATTTATTTGTGCAAAAGTTGGTAATTTTTCGACCGGATCATGCTGTGTACTTCTTCTTTTTTTTCTTTTTCTTTTTCTTTTTCTTTTTCATCTTTCTCTTCTCCGGATTTATAAACGTTCCTTTTTTGCGATATAACAAACTAGCTGGACGTGTCTGAAAAGAAATGTTAAATAATTTATGGTATCTAGAATAAAAAAAAGGAAAAATAATAATAATTTATTATCATTACGGGGTTGCATGCATCGTTTGAAACATTTGTGTAGTCTCCATCGATCGATTAAACTTTCATCATAATTTTGAACGAACGTTCAAGCGTTTTCCTTGCAATTTCGCGTAACTATATTTACGCTCAAAAGGATAGGATTCGATGGGAGATCTCTCTCTCTTTCTCTCTCATTGTAAAGTGAACACACATACACACACATTTCGAACGCTTATTCCGATATTTATTTCGTCGTTTCCTACGTGAATTTCCATTTTGGTAAAATTCAAATTAACCTATTATTAATGTCAAACGTATATACATATATAATATTATACATGTATTAATAATAATCTTATAACTATAAATTTAAATATCCTTCTTCCGTTCTTAAATTATAAAATAAAATTAAAAATTAAAGAATGAAATAAATTTATCGATTAACCAAAAATTATCATCAATCTTATATTATTTTATATTTGTCAAAGTAAAATTAGTTTAATTACATTTCCTTCTGTATATCTTTTCCCCCCTTCCCTCGAATGGAGTTTATTCAAGCGTTCGCTATAGGGAAAAGATTGAAATTCTCTCTGCAAATCCCCTTCTCGTTCTCTTTTTTAAGAACGGTTTAAAGGACCAAAAATAAAGCGTAAAAAAAAGGTTTCTTTAAAAAAAAAAATGTACTCTCGTTTATATATATAACCTTTCTGATAGCTCTATTTTATTTTTGTCAAAAGAGAGGGTGAGACAGGAGTGGGGAGTTATAGCATTACATATAGTACATTCTGTGTTACGTTATAGTAAAAGAGTAAGAAGGAAAGGAGATGGTCCGAACGATGGAGCTATAAAGCCACTCTCTCTCTCTCTCTCTCTCTCTCTCTCCCCCTCCCTCCCTCCCTCTCAATTCTCTTTCTCTTTTTCTCAGTAAGTTGTAAAATCGTAATAGCCTTCCGGTATTTACATAATGCTACGGCATAATAAGTGGAACTTTCCGAGTTTCCATTACCATTCCGACAGTATCCGCTCTTATCTTTGCTAACGACCATTTCAACTCTCCTCATCTACCCCCTCCCCCACCCTCTTTCCACTCCTTTTTCTCCATGACGGTCGTCGGTCGTCCACGACTTATATTTTTCATCTTACTCCTTCGGTAGTAGCCACTGCCACCATCACTGTTTCGCGAGGACCGTCGGAGTAATGTACTTTTCCTGCCTGAAATTCGAACGAGCTTCTTTTGTTACCACCCCTAAACCAACCCTCTCCCTACACTCCTCCCCATTTGGTAATAAAACGTCCCAACCGTTCGTTCATTCGGATCACCACCTACACTTTCTTTCTTTCTTTTTTCATCATCAAAGAAATCAGCGACGAATCAGAGATTCAACGCGCAAGAAAAATCTCCGACGGTTTTTTTTTATTTTTTTTTATTTTTCACCGAGCAATCAAAAAAGAATTTTCGTGGACGAGATACGAGCGTCTCTTTCTTTCTCATTATATTTTTTTCTTTCTTTCTTTCTTCTTTACTTTATTTCTCTTCTCTCTCGGTTCGTCATTCTTTTTCTCATCTTCTCGAAGTAGTAGTAGTAGTAGTCTTTCTCGAAGCACGTCTCGTTTGCACGACAATGCGCTCATTAGGAGAGTAGCCGAGTGAGTAGTCCACAGTGGTGGTTTTCGGAGCGATGGAGCGTAATAAAATTTCAACGTAATTTCGAGCGTGCGCTTGGTGGTGGTGGTGGTGGGATCCTTACTCCAACCCCCAAACTCCCACCTGCCGTATCTTAGGCTGAAACTTGTTCGTTTGTATTAGAGATACCGCCCGACGAACTTGAATTTCTTCTTTCGACACTTTCTTTTGGATACTCCCGCTAAGGAAAAGGAGAGGAGCAGGTTTGAAGACCCGGGAGCCTGACTGTGGTTAGCTTCATTCGAATAAGTGCTTTCCTCTTATTCTCTCTTTTTCTTTCTCTTCTTCTTCTTCTTCTTATATATATAGATATATCTTCCCACGAGATCTTCCTTTCATAAGGAGAAAGAGAAATAGAAAGCGAGCTTTTTCGTCGACTCGAAATCGGGCTAAGCCGTTTATTTAATTTTCAAGATCTCGGACCATTTTATTTTCATCCCCGAGACTTTATACATTTTGCTGATTAGCCGATCCCTCTTGGGCGAGCTCACGAGTACTCGCTCACAGTAGTGTTACTCTATCTATCTCTATCTTTCTCTCACTAACTTTTTCCTTCTTTTCTATTCCGCCTGTGAAATAAGCAAGCGAGAACGAGCAGCAGCAGCAGCAGCAGCAGCAGCAGCAACGGTAGCATCAGGAACGACGACTACTACTACTACTAGTATTCGAAGGGATGAGAGTTAAAAGAGAGATGGAAATAGGTTGAACGAAGTAGAGAGTGGGTTCGAAACGGTGGAAGTAACTTGGATTCAGGAATGCAGAGAGAGAGAGAGGGAGAGAGGACGTGCGTCCGAGAGAAGCTTTGCGTTACTCACTGGATATAGAGAGGTCTAAGCCCAGCTATCACTGAAATTGCCCAAGTTTACCTCTTCTACTACCTTCTTTCCCAATATTTAGCTTTACTCTGCTTCTTTTCCACCCTTCCACTTTTATTTCACCCTCTATTCCCTTATTTTACCTATCTATCTCTCTTCTACTTAATTTTCTATTTCCGTGGTCAAGCTTCTACAATTTTTTGTTTGTTTGTTTGTGTGTGCTTTCCTTCGGTCCTCTGTTGTTCATTAACCGTACAAATTTTTTTAAACTTTAAAATGTTTCACTAATACTCTCCCTTTTACGATAGTATTATCAAAATTCCAAGATTTAATTATAACCAACTTGACATCTTTCTAAACTGTAAAATATTTTACTAACTTTTCCTTTATCTATTTTTTTTCCTATCGTAATACGATAGCATTATCAAGATTAGAAGATTTAATTGTAACCAACTTGCCATTTCTCTCCAGTTTTGTTTTTTTATATTTTTTTCTTATCGCTTTTTTTTTGTAAGCTTCGTGAGCGAGAACCCAAGAGAGAGCTTTGCATTTCTATCTCTTCCCCATCTATACTAACGTTTTCTTCCAAGATTTTTGTATTAACTCACTTTCTTGCGATTGGTTCGTCTTGTTCCTAAGGATCAAGGAGTCGCTTTCATTTCATTATTTCATAATGCAGCCACTCGACCTGACTGTACGTACATTCAATTCACTTAAGGTATTCTCTTACTCCTACTATTTCTCTTTCTTTCTATCTCTTTTTACGTATCTCAATCTTTCTTTTCTCTTTCTACTTTCTCTCTCTCTCTACCTTTCCTTTACCTTCTTGCTGTTTTTTTTCTTTCTTTTTTTTTACCTGCACCCACGTACAGAAGTAGTCTTTCGTTCAATAATGAACTCGATGATATAATACAAAGTGCGGTGGTATCTTAACGAGATAACCGAATTTAATCAAAAAAATATCGGAACATTGAGAGAGTTTTCTTCTTTTCTTTTTTTTTTCATATAAAAAAGTAGTAGAAATATAAAATATCCAAGACAATTTATAATAGGATTTTTCTAGTATTTAATTTCTAATTTTTAGCAATTAATCTATTAATGCAAAACAGTTGCTTTCGTTTATTTCTCAAAATGCATTTTTTTTACATTATTCGTTGTAGCATATTTTTATATACATATTATACGATACATAGGATATATATATATATATATATACATATACATACGTAGTATATACTACTACGTATATATATATATACATACGTAGGGTACGTACATTATCAAGTAAAAAGCTTTTATGATTCGTGGTGGAAAAGAATAGAAAGAGAGAGTGGGGATGGAAGAAAAAAAAATAGAAGAGCTTTTTCACTGCGAAGGCCACCTACCTACATCTTACACTTTTCCTCCCTTTTGACCGTGACCTTTCTTGTCCTATACTTCTTCCCCTGCCCTGCCCTCTGCTCCTTCTCCACTATATATGCCGTGTTGCAATCTTTGCCAAACGAATATACATTTTCATGCTGTTTAATGCTGTGTTGGCGTTACTTTCTGTAACTTAAACGCGCAATGATTCGTATTAAAATTTATCGTTAAACTTTCTCCAAAATTTCTAAGTGCTTTTAATAATGTTCAGTAACTGAAAACGCGCAATCACTTTGATGGCATTTAAAGAGCACCACCCCCATCCTTCCACCGAAAGTATATTAAGATTTGCATATATTTTGCAACGAAATAAACGAAGAATTTAAGAAAAGAATCAATTCAAACAATGCATGCTTTTATTCGGTCAATAAAATTCAATGAATGAACTTTCGAGTTCCTAATGCCAATTAATAATCAAAACGTGAATTTTTCTTGTTGCAGATGGTGACGAGGACAAAGAAGATATTCGTCGGTGGACTATCGGCACCGACGACGCTGGAGGACGTCAAAAATTATTTCGAGCAGTTCGGTCCGGTGAGTACTAACATATATATATGTATATCTATATATACATATAGATATATAAAATAGACCTTATCTATCAAATGCGATTACACCGTTCTCATGTATATACATACGTATTACGGCAGATAGATACGTCGTATTTACCATGATAAGCGATCGAATTGATGGACCGGCTTGATTTTCAGTAAATTTACACTATACATGGACACGTCCATTAGCACGTCAGAGAGAGAAAAGCAACAACCTGGTTACATCCAAATCGCGATACGACATAGTTCGTAGAACGAACTAACGAACGAGCGAACGAACGAACGGCGTTATGTTTATCCATCAAAGTTACTCTTGCTTTTAGTTGACGTCATCATCGTATATTGCATCCTATTCTCTTATACGTTTGAACTATCTATTTATCTCTCTTTCACTTTTGCTTTGACCTGCTGCTGCTGCTGCTGCAGCAGCAGTTGCTGCTACTGCTGGTGTTGAAATGGATGGCACCACCACGGATGACGATTGTCACGAAATTCGGCACGATCGAAACTGGATTTATATTTTCGATGGGAGGCCTGGAAACGAGCTGCATATATGACCGACCAACCAACCGACTGACTGACAGACAGACCAAGCGACCACCTTACAAATACTCCTGAACGTTTCACGATTTTCGGTTATTCGAGGGGCTTCCTGCGTTCCTGCCTGCCTGCCTGCCTACCGACCACTACCAACTACCATCATCACCAACATCACCCAGACCGATTTCCAAGCGTTGAACAAAACCTGTCGCGTCGGATTCGGTGAACATAACCGAACTCTCTCTCTCTTTCTCCCCCCATACTCGAAACACGTCGTTACTATTCATCGAACTTCTCGTCCGTTTATTATGTTCTTCGATGATCCAGTTTCATCGTCACTCCATTCGTGATTTCGTTTATTTCCAGCCACCCCTTCACCTGCTCTGCTCTTTTTTTCTCTCTCTTTTTTTTTTTTTTGGATTGCAGATACAAAGAGAAATAATAATGTATATGTGTTACAGAATTTTATTGCATTTCTATTTTTTTTTTTGTAATTAAATACTTGTAAAGTATTTAAAATTAGTTACAATTAAAAATCAATAATATTGTTTCCAAGTTTAGACGCGAAATACTAAATAATATTATTATTATTAGTATAATAATATATTATTATAGTATAATATTTTTTTATTAAAAAATTATTAGTATTACATTAATAATTATACTAATATTACTATTATACAATATTATTTAGTAAAACATATTAGTATAATATTTAGTATTTAATTAATTTAGTAAAAACAATAATATTATTTATTATTTCTTCTTTTATTGCGTTTTTCTTTTAACTTTGAACATAAGAAAAAAATAAAATTGGATTTTTTCTTTTTCTCGTAAAAATTAAACGATATTTTATGGTTTCACCACGTCATCTTCTCAAATCAAGTTAACCTTATTCTTTGAAATAAAAAATTCAAGAAAACTTTTCGTTCATTCGTTCGTTCGTATTTATAAAATGTTCTATAATCATTAATTGCTACGTGAAAAGTACGTATCAGTTATCATAGTTTAAGTTTTAACGATTGACATGAACAAATTTATTCACAATTTTGATACGGTCCTCCCGATTCATGCAATTCAAGCGATTTCTATAAACGAGGAAAGCACCACTCGATTTTGTAGTCGACGAGGACGAAATTCTTCGACGTTATTGTTCCGAAGATTACGATAGGATATATTTTCACGAACAAAATACATCGAAGTTTTAAAGCGATTTCGTTGGAAACCCGAGGGTGTACCACAAACTCTGGATATTAATTTCAACAATTAAGGTATAACAAATTGAACACAGTTGACATAGAATCGATAGGAGAATATAGTTCGATCTTAAAGTTTGTCCATCTTTTGGACGATTTATTTACACATTTACCACAAGACACAAGACTTGGACGATGCATTAATCCGACCATCATAAATTTTCGTTGAAAATCTAACATAGAATTTCAAATGTTTCAAACGATACTATCTATTGTCGATAAACGATAAGGAGTTGTTGAAATAGATACACCTGAGACTAGAAGATCTTTAGCTAATTATACTCTATCGATTCATGACATTAGGGTAAACGATTATGCGTTATTGTGCAAAGTTTACAAGAAGATTTACAGTTGTTCCATTGATAAACAGACACATTTGTAACTCAAATTGCAATCTCATTTCACGTTTACGTGTTTACCAACTTTAATGAACAATGAAACGTTTCGAATAACTTTTGATCAACTAAATGGTGATCAATTTTAACTGGTAAATATAAATGGCTATATATACACCTTTAAAAAATAAATAAAAATCATCTTCTATTATTATCGTTTATAATTGCTTAAACAATAAATGCATCATAGTTAGCAAGGAGGACCATCACTGACCGAACCACTCATCCGATGGCCTCGATATCGTCGTTTATCATTGACAGAAGTATAGATTCTCACGGTGAAAATAGTAGGACGAAACTCGAAACTGCTATCGTTGCATGACAAGGCAAACGTAGCTAGCTGTTCGCTTGAAATACATCGGTAAAAGAATTTATCGGAAAACTTGACTTCTATGGTTTGCTTCGTGGTTACTTTTAGCTCTCAGGTGACACTCCAAGCAATTTCGCAAAAGGGTCGAACGAAAGAGAAGTAGGAAGAGGTTGGAAAGAGACTGAGAGAGAGAGAGAGAGAGAGAGAGAGACAGATAGACAGACAGACAGACAGATAGAGATAGAGAATTATGAGAGAGAGGGGAGGAAAAAGAGGTTACAGAAGAGTATGTTTCTTCATCGATTGTAGCTTGAGCCAAAAATGGATTTGAGATATCGGAACGTAGTTGCTATCTCCGACTTAAATCACCGTACTCTCTTTTTCTTTTTTTTCTCTCTCAACCCTCTTTACCCTTTCGTTTTGTACCAAAAGTCTCGTCCGGTACTGAATGCAGAATTTCCGGCTTGTGTAGTAGGTCGAATCAACCTTCCTGTGGTTGACCCATATCCGAAGATACGATCAGACCACCTTTCACGCACACATACACATAAACATACACAGATATATCCACGTGAAGCCATTTCAGGCTTCGATTCCTACGAATGAAGCACTCGGCACATACAACGAAACCACTTATATCAGACAGAAGAATGTAAACACAGACGAAGAAATATCTCTCACGGGTTATATGTAACAATCGTGGGTATATACACACATACATAGAGATTGTATATACACATAAGAGATTTCATCATCGGGGTCCCGTTCGTAATCTTATATCGCAATCCGGATTCTCTCCGTAGTCGAGATATATCTCTTTCGACCTCTCAATACTCATCTTCTTTCCACTTCTAGAAGATTGGTAGTAGTGGTGGTGGTGGTGGTGGTGCTAGTAATGACAAAGGATAGGAAAGAGAAAAAAAGGCAAGAAAGAAATAGAAAAAGGGGAATGAAAAAGAGTAAGAGAAAAAACAAATGGGCGTAAGAATTCTTCGACGGGTAAACTCGTGAAATCTCTTGGTTAGCCGAATAAAACTAGATGGGAGTACTGTCAGTAAGTGTGTAACACATTTATTTGATCCGTCAAGTTTCATATAACGTAAGAAAGAAAATCTTATCTTCGTATCTGCTACCCATCCAGTCTGACGTAACTTGTTATATAGTAGTAGTTCAAGATTTTTTTATCTCAAGTAACTTATCTATCATTTACCGATCTTATTGAATTAGAAAGGATAACTTGTTTATTTAGATACTCACGTAGTGAGAATATTTTCGCTAGGATCTCACATATGTTCGGTATTTTTTTTGAAGTGAAAACTTCTTTAGAATGTTCTCGTTTGAGAGCTTGTTTTGTGTCGCTAGATTCGAGCCATGACGAGTGTACACGTCAATCACAATTAACTGCTTAAATTTATTTCATTGTAAATGGAATGAAATTCTTCTAAGGAAAAAATAAAATCAAATGACACGCTACATTATTATATATCGTCTTGTATAAGTCGGTTCGATAAATCGACAAGTCAAGCAACCCTTCTTTTCCTCGAGCTACCATCGGGGTAAGCTCATTCGCGGAAATATCAAGACCGAGAGAAAGAGAGAGGGGTTTTGCACGCGATTTAAAACTTAGATGAGGGTGTCCGAGGACGTTACTTGAAAAATGAATAGATCCCCGAAGACTAAGAGGAGAGAGAGAGAAAGAACTTAATTGCTCGCTCCCTTTCAACTTCCAACTTTACTTCCTTCGATGGTCGATGGCTATGGAATAAGAAAAAATAGCTGGATAAGGGATGATAGGAAAAGACGTTAGGAGAAGAACGTGCAAGTAGTTACGCCGTTGAGAGACGATACTTAACGGTAGACTCGAAATTAAGATATTAATAATTAAATATGATTTACAACCCAGCCAAACCTTTCTACGTTCTTTCTTGTTCAATACTTCATGTCTGTTAGCATCTTTTACTCCTAATATGTCCTTTTCCCTTGAGTAAATGAAATTCTATCAAAGAATCGTCTTCATGGAAATCGGTCTCTCTTATAGGAACTTCATTTTAAACGATTAAAGTAATCAAAAAGTCAACACGAAAAATAGAAAATTAAAAAGGTAAAAGGTTTACGTTGATCTTTCGATTTTTTTCACGCAAATTAATGCGTTCATTGGAATACCTACTTAAAGGAATAGAAAAAATTTGTTGATTTCATTAATTCCCATACTTTTATCCTTGTTCCATCGTATTGGAGAGATTTTTTTCTTGATTCGTCGAACGGCAAGGTCGAGCGATAGTCAGTCAGTGTTCTCTCTCTCTTTCTCTTTCTCTTTCTCTTTCTCTTTCTCTTTTGCAGGGTATTCCTCTCTTTCGTAAAGCTATGCTTGCGTGGGTGAATAAATAAATTTAATGGCGCTTGTCACGTAGCAAAACGGGATAAATTCCGGACGCCTGACAGCCATTTAAAACAATGCCGTCGCGAATACACGCCATTT